TAAAATCACCTCCTATCAGGATGGGATTAACACAATCTTGAAAGACCCTTGACGATTGAGATCAAAATATGGCTTTACTAGCAGGTTCAGCATCCCCATAGACCATCACCAAGTCCCATATAAATGTGTCCTTAACATCTTGCACTATCATTTTGATAAAGTAATCTCCTTCATCCCGTGCAGTACGTCAAGAGTAGTGTAATTGACACCCATGAGCAAGTCACCAGACTTTCCCCTAGCAGAAATATGATGCCAATGAAAACCTCTCCTAGCACATATCCCTTATAGATCATTTATAGAGAAATCATGCCTCAAAGTTTCTTGCAATCCTAAAAAGTTTGCTTTCATATCCATCACCATTTCCCTAAGAATTCTTTTCTTAACATCCCCCAAAACCCCTCATGTTCTAGAAAACTCCTCTCATCCTTTCCTTTTTTATTTTTATCAGAGTGTTCCAGATTTTTTTATGCAAACAATAGATTTCCTCCCAGGATTCTTGGGGGGGGTCTATTTTTATATCCGTCATTTTTATGTGAAAACATGTCTCTGAATTGTTCCCAACCCTCTTTCTCCTCATCTATGTCATTGTTTTCCTCCTCACACATCAATTCTTATATACTATATTCCTATGTTTCAATCACATGGCTCACCTCATACATAAATGCTGAGTTACTGGTCATTTTGTTATTATTATGAACCCACAAATCCACTCTGGCCTTTTCTACTACTTTTACAAAATATTTTTTTAACAAGGACTGCTTTTATAAAATTGATATGATGACCAATTATACCAATCTTCCCTCCCAAATTAACAACCACACTTACAACTATCCCACGCAAATAAACATGTGAAGAAGAGAGTAAGTTTGGAATTTGTCCTCACCATATTCATCTTTCTGAGCATCCCTTTTTTAGCTAACTCCTCTATGTTGCAATCCTCTTTATCTTTGTGTCACTCACACCTTCCCAGTAATTTCAAACTTTTTGGGTCAAGTTCCCTCTCTCGGCTTTCTTAACCATAGTCCCAAAGGAGTCTTGTTCCCCGCTTGTTGTGTAGTCCACTTGTTCCAAGTATTCATCTTCCTGTTACAAAAAACCAAGCTCCCCCAAGTTCTTGTCTAGTTTATTGTCCCCACTCCCATTTCCCTCCTCCTCGACATCATTTTTTCTCAACATCAATCATCTTATTATCTGTTTGAGAGCCCCTAATTTCAGTCATAGGCCTCATGTTTTGTTGCAACAACTCATGTTGCCTTCTAATCTCTCTCTTCGACCCCATCTTCATGATTCCCATCTCTTTTCTATTTTTTTCTTCCACCACCAACTGAGTTGTCTGTCTGGCAGCCATCTCTTCGGCTAATTGCAGCCTGAGTAACAAAATTTCCCCCTCTACACTAGCTGTGTTGCCTTGCTCCTTGTTGTAGCTACATTCTCCATTTAACGACTTTTTTGCACATTACTGCTAATCACATTTTCATATTATTTCAAGGACAAACCCCCTAAAGTCACACTGGTTCTCGTTTGATCAATGCTTTCATTTTTCTTGCTCTTGTCATTTTCTTTTTGTTCCACCACATCCTCTAAATTGATAAAATCAAACATTTTGCTCTTGTTACCTTCCTCAAATTTATACCGTCCTTGTTCAGCCACTGACTCCAGTTCAATCCCAATATCATGCAACAACAAACCATTGGTGGTGATTTTTGTTCTTGTAGGTATTTTGTGCGAGTCCCTAACCCCAACTTTCAACCTTATTTTTTCCTTGACATGGATATTCTCAACATCCACTTTCACCACAGGACCTAGAGTAGATCCAGCCTCGCAAATTCCTACTAATGTCTCAACGAATCAGCACTCCAGACATCTGAATCCAAATGGAATGAAGTTTTCCTTTTGCTTTATCATCAGGACTCCAAAAGTCCACCTCAACGATAGCACTAGACACACAAGAGTAAATCTCTCCAAAGAAATAGTTCGACCAGCTTGGCTTTATTAGGAAATCTCATCAGAAAGGATTCATGGCTTTGGAACTTGGCTCTCCAAGTCCACCCCACTCAAAAATTCTGCTAAACCCCTATACTAGTGTAGTTTTATTGAGCTGGCCAGAGTGTACAACCACTATTGCCATTATTAGCATGTTCTACAACACATATTTCCATGGTAGTCTGAACAAGTAAACATCCTAATGCTCTTGCTCCATATCCCACATACTTGGCTATTGGCTTAGGCTCCCTCTGGATAGTACAGCCTTCAGTCCTATGAGATCCTCTTTGACAAACCACACATAATACATTGGTTTTGCAATCTTTGTTACTATGCCCACACCTTTGCACTTTCCACAGATTTGCTCCTTCTCTCCATCCCCATCAACCTTGTGTCCAGTTCCTCTATCATTTCTCTCCTTCTCACTATTAGCAATAGGTATGACACTACTTTTAGGGATATTTGCCAACAAGTACTGATATTGCTGGGCCAACTGTTCAGGTGCCAAGAAGAAAAGTTTCCCCATCCCCAGCCCCAATGGCATCATTTGCGAGCAATTCTACAAAGGAGCGCCATGAATGCCCCTGCTGTTGAATAGATATCCCATGCGCCCCTTGTTGTTGTTGCCGCCGTCCACCGCCACCATTGTTCTTCCTTGAGGTCACATGTCTAGTCCCCACTCTATGTTGATTGTAGCTGTCATTCCCACCTTGTCCAGCAAAAGCTCCAAAACCAGAGCCCCCTCCTCCACCCTGCGAAGAAACACCTCCAAACCTATTCTGGGTGAATCCCTTACCTCCTAATCCACCACTACTGTTCTCAGACCCCCCCCCCCACAAAAACCTCCATCTCTATCACTATGATCAAACTGATCATAATTTCTATCCTCTTGCCTGCCATAATCTTTGCCTCCCTTCCATGTTCTCACTTGCTTCTCTCTCTGCCTCCGTCTGCTCTCCCAGACCTGCCATCGCCGCCTTCTTCTCCATAGAACAAGGGGAAGTGGGGAATTCCAGATGAGCTAGGTCAGGAATGGGTGTAGGAGCTTCATATAGCCCCCCTCCCACACACGCACACCCTTGGACAAGCCAGATGTACAATGGGCTTCATTCGCCCTTTTTGTGCTCTGCACCACACCAGGAAGTGTATCGTGTGAGGCGACACAAAATTCTTCCCTACGCGACACGCTCGCTAGTCAACCACGCATCCCTCCACTCCGACAAGGGAGATCGTGTTGCCCCGCACCACCACCACGCCCTGCAGGTAAATGAGCACCCTCGCCGGCGGCCGCCGGCCTGAGATCCAGCAGGTACCACGTCGGCCACCGCGAGTCGCCAGTCGCGTATTCGCTTGTCTGTCGGTCGCCGCCCTGAGATCCGGCAGGTACCACGCCGGCCTTCGCGAGTCGCCAGTCGCGTATTCGCCTGTCTCTCTCTTACCACGACCACCTTCTCCTTAGGGTCTGTCTAGAACTCAGTCGACTGAGACTTAACGAAGTCTCAGTCGAGTGACGTCAGTTATACCTGGCCATGGGAAGCACGGCCCGGCCGGCCCGGCCCGACGCTACCCTCGGGCCGGGCTCGGGCCTAGATTTTGAGCCCGAAGGCCGGGCCCGGGCCCGTAGTATTTGCATTTTTCTGAAGGTCGGGCCGGGCCGGCCCGAAGCCCAACGGGCTTTTTCATGTTCGGGCCGGGCTTAGGCCCAAAAAACAGGCCCGATGGCCGGCCTGGGCCGGGCCCGATGGCCGGCCCGGGCCTGGGTTTTTTGCATCGGGCTTGGCTAGGCCCGGCCCGAGGTATGGCCAGGTATAACGTCAGTGTAGTTGTTTTACTGCAAGCGGCATGGCTAGATGCTACAACCGATGATGAAAAATGTTGCGGCGGTTCTGCAAACAACGACAACTAATGATGCAACCGGTGTGACTAACATACTACAACCAACAAAATAGATGCTGCAACTGATAGGGAAAAAAAGTTGCAGACGTTGGGACAAAATGTTGCAAGGTCAATCGAGAATTGGTTAAATCTCAGTCGACTGAGTTTTAGCAAGCCCGTTCTCCTTAAGATCCCGCCTCTTCTTACCGAAGCTAAGAACACCTGTTGCAGCAGCAATGAAGTCCAGCACAATTCACACGGGTGAAATGAGCACGGGTAACACAGGATGGGCATCAATGGTTTAGCGAGGACCATGCTAGTCTGTGAACGGATAAGTCCGAGCAACAGAACAAAAGAAGTTAAGAAACGTGTGATCCCTAGCCGTTAGGCTGGGGACAAGGGTACGGGCCATGCGAGCACGAGGCCACGACGCCGTTGCAACATGACGGGCAAGTACGAGGCAATTGTGCGGCCGCCGAACGCTCTCCTCACGTGGTACTACTCACTCCCCTCCACCAGAAAGCAAAAGACAAACCAGGATTAGAAAAGCCTAGCAATAAGCAAAGGCAAACGGCAAAGGAAGAAGAAAACAAGATGCGACATGGGCGGCACGCCGCTTTAGCATCCACCATAGATCCAGGCACGCGGCGCAACAACAACTTGTACAAAAGAAAAGGGGCGGTGTCGCAGCACTTCACTTTCTCGTAGTACAGACAGAAGAATTACAACACGCATACGAACAGCCTTTTCTCCGTGGTTCCCTCATCCCCGACCCGGCCGGCGCAAGCCGCCGAAACCTCACTAGCCGCGAGCACACACGCCGGAATTGTGTGGCTCCCATCCGCAGAGGATCCACGGCCCGCTGCCGATCGCGGCCGCCCGTATTGCGGAGCGGACACCGGCCTCGAGATGCGCTCGAAAGCAACATCCCCTCCTCCAGTCGCGGCTTCCGAGGCGGCCATGGCGTGGCCCGGGGTAGGGGTAGGGACGGGAGGGGCAATAATTACTGCGATGCCCATCACGTGAACCCACTGGAGTGCCTGGTGACGCTTTACTGCCCCGTAATAACGTGGCCATGTGAGGGGCAGTCTCGCCAGAGAAAGAAAATGCGGATGCCTTTCTGGGGGCCCGGCAACAGCGGCCTAGGTGCTAGGGCCGTTAACGCCGGGCGAGCCCCGGGCCCACCAGCTCGAGCCCGGCCACCGACGCGCGCTCCCGGCCCGCGCTTCTGCGCCGGCGCGGATCGGAGGGAGGCGGCTCACGCCGGCGATCTCGGAGAGGCAGCGCCCGCTGATCTCCGTCCTGCCGCGGTTGCCTGAGTTGACGGCGGCCGAGCAGGAGTATCGCCCGGTCTCTGTCACCAGCATCTCTGACCGCACGAACATCAGATCGGCCGGCCGGAGGTCGCTCCACCGCTGCTTCGCTGCCGGGGCCGTCTCGTCGTCGCAGCCGCACGCGGTGCTCACCAGGATACGGTGCCCGAAGCGCCTGTCGAACGCCACGGGATCGGGCTCCGCCACTGCGGCTGCCGGCTCCACCATCAGCACCCGGTCCTTCCTCACCTTCGCGACGTCGAAGCAGCCCACCGTAGCCGCGCCACCATCGCCTCCTCCCAACTCCAGATCGGCCGAGCGCCGTGACGTAGGGCCAACCCGCCCAGGCGCTCGCACTGACCCCGTCGAGTGCCGGCCCCCGATCCTTCGCCACGCCGGGGAGGGAGCAGGTGCAGGAGCCAAGGCTGCGTCCTTGCTCTTGTCCTTGACCGTCGCAACGGCAGTGGCAGCAGCAGCAGCAGCTTTCTGCTCCGGCGGTTCGGGAGGTCCCGTCGTGGACGGCTTGGGCGGCTCGGGCAGGAGCAGCACGTCCTCCGGGTCGACGCGGGAGCGGCAGAGCGGGCACGTGGAGTGCGCATCCAGCCACGTATCCACGCACTCGACGTGGAACCCATGCCGGCATTTGGGCAGCAGCCGCAGCGCCTCCGTCGGCTCGAAGCGGCCGAGGCAGACGGCGCACTCGAGCCCGGCCTTCTGCCCGCGCAGCGCGCCGAAGCGGAACACCGGGAGCGACTCCACCACCGCGCGTTCCACGCCGGAGTTCCTCCGCTCACCCGCCGCCCCGCCACCGGAACCACCACCGCTGCCGTACGGGCCCGACGACTCCGCGGCGCTCCGCTTGCAGTGCTTGGCGTAGAGCAGCAGGAGGAACGTGATGGAGAAGACGCTCGTCAGTATCCCCACGACCACCGCCACGCCCGGCTTGAACGGCGCGGCCGAGGACGTGGACGGCGACGGCAGCGGCGACATGATCGCGCCGTCGTAGTCGGAGAGCAGAAGCCGCCGCGACGGCTCCATGTCCACCACCACCACCACCCTCGCCCGAGCGGCACGGCAAGCTGCGCAAAACGAGGAGATAAACAATGGCGCCGCTCCACTGCGGCCACCACGCAACGAGAGTGTGATCGATTTGTAAACACGCGGTAGGGGTAATAATAGCGGCGGAGACTAGAGCTCTAGTGGTAGCGGCGTCCGGCGTGCAATGGCAGCAGCCAGAGCCACTCCTCCTACTACTACTAGTGGGGGCGGTGAGCGTATCTCGCGCCGGTGGGGCCAGGTGGCCAGCGAGTCACCCGGTTGCGCTGCTCCGCCGGTGAGCGTAACCGTGGCAAACCCACTGCTGCGGCTTGTCGCGGAGCGAGCTAGAGGTAGAGCCAGAGAGGGAGTGGCGATACACTACGGCCACTGCCGCACTGACAGTTCAGTTGTGGCGGGGTGGGCCCGCGCGTCAGCAGATGAATGGAGTACGTGGGCTGTGGCGGGCTTGTTTACTCCGAGAGGGAAAACGAAACGGGGAGCAGCATGGGCTGGGGCGCAGCGACCCCTGTTTCGAGCGAGTAATGCGCATTTAAGAATCGAAGGGGCCGCGATTACTGTTCTGGCCCCGAGTTAAGGGCGTCTTAATCATACATGTCAGGGGCAGTATCGGAAACCCCTCTCGTCGTCTCCGATCGGTGGCCATGCGCGCGGAGCAAGGGAATGAATGCCCGTGCAGGGAAAAAGGATGGGCCGCGCATACGCGCACGCGGGCTGATTCACCGCCTCGGTCACTGACACGGCTACCGCGATTCGCGGTGGGCCCCACACGTCAGACCATTACGTGCAACGAGCGTGGGGTTGGCAGTGGCACGGGAGAGACAGAGAGTGGGTTCTGGCGTTCTGGGTTATCAAAGTTCGGGGCACGTGAGGCCTGCTCTGCTCTGCCCGACGGGCGAAATTTTGAATGTTTGCTAGGGAAAATTTTAGTTTAATTTCATGGGCGCCCCGTGCGGGCTACGAGGATCTCAGAGGCTGGACCATGTACCTATCGCAGCAGAGGTTGCCCTGCGCGGCTTAATTTAGCTCGTCGAGTACGCAGGTGCGTCGTCACATCATATAATCGTAATAATCGACCGATTCGTGGTGGACGCTACGTGGATCCGGCGGTACGGTTTTTGAAAAGCGCATCTGAAAACCGCCGGGTACGCGAGGGAGCAGTACGGGGCGCTCTGCCACTGCTGGTGATATCGCCCGCGTCGGAAGAGCACTGTGCGGATCTGGATGCGCGGGCACTGTGCAAGTACGCTCCTCATGAGTGATGATAGCCCACCATCACCATGCCAACTTGCTCACGAGTTACCACTACCAACGTGCGTACATACACGGGCCAGCTCAAGCTCGATCGCCTTTTATTTACCTCAGTAAGAAGATGATGCATCTCAACGAAACCAGAGGGAAGTGATATAGGAGTTATTACGTTACGTGCATGCTCAGCAATAGTTTAGCCGCTGCTGCAGCGCTGTTGCGCGACAATTTGCAGGCTGGTTTGAAGCGGCGATCGCTCGACACGTACGTGACCCGTGCGATATCGCACTGCTGGCTGCAGCGCCGGGGTTTAAGCCAGCGCGACGGTGCAGTACGCAGTACGCGCCCTGCACGGCGGGAACGACATAAGTCTGTTCTCTTCTAACGTGACCAGGCGCGGGAAGGAAACCAAATGAGTGGCCCGGCTGACTGGCTCGGCTGCCGGCCGCGACAGGGCTCGGCGCGGCAGCATCTGGGAGCTCCGATCGGGTGGCCGGAGCAGTGCGGTTGGTGACGCGTGCACAGTGGCGCGGCTTGTCGGCGGGTGTCTCCAAATAGACCGAATGCTTGTATGCATGCGGCATGCACGCGTGAGAAGCAATGTGACACGACACGAGCGCAAGCTGGTTTAGATCGCTCACTGTTAGGCCTGACAGCTCGCTCGGGACTTCTCGTGGACGCTAGTGGAACGGAAGCTATCACATCAATGGAGGCTGCCAAGAAATAGCCGTGGCATAAAAGTGTGCACAGGGGACTGTGTGTATGGTGACGGATTAACGGGGTGGTGAACTGCCGGCCTTGTTGGCCTTCTGGGTTCGAAACTACTATACAGACGACAGTACTCCGGCCGAACACTGGACGATGTTGGATCGAACGGTGTTGTTTAGTTTTGCTTTACACATGAGCGGCTTGATGTGCTACATCGTCTGCAAATCGTCCGCCGTTTGTCGTCTGTGTAGCAGCGTTCTTCTGGGTTTATCAATGTTGGTCATTTTATTACTTGTCGGCGTTGGTGAAGGTGTAAACCCCTTCCCTATAAAAAAAATGGGTGTAAAAAGTAGGATGGAGACCGAGCTCCTTGGGGGCTTTAATTTTGGAAAAAAATAAAAATTCAACCTTTTCAGTTTCAAAATATTCTTTAAAAAAATCATATGTATACAAGCATGTAATGTCTATGTGTGTAAAATTTCAGGATGAAATACCTTGAATTGCGTGCTGCAAAAAAACCAAATCATGTAAGTTTTTTTGTGTGTAGGTCTCATTTTAAGGTATTTCAACCTGAAAATTTACACACATGTACATTATCTGTATATTTGTGTATATCTGTATATTTCAACCTGAAAATTTTAAGGTATATTTTGTGTATATATAAATATTTTTTAGAATTTTTTAAAATTTGAAAAATTCAAATTAAGGCCACCTTGGAGCTCGGTCTCCATTTGGCATTTTTCTGTAAACCCTTCTATTTTCTTTTAGGAAAACCGTCATGGTGAGATTGTATATTGATTGAAATCAATGGTTACATCGTCGACAAAGTTCTATAAATTTAAAACCAGAGGAATCATCGTCTCAGATAGAAGAAGTGGTAGTAGAGAGATCATTCCTAGCAAAATCGGATGCCACTGAGTTGGCCTCCCTACAACAATACTCAATTTAAACATTTTCTTTTTTAACAGTGCTACAGATTTGAAGATAAATTGAGTGTTGCAACTTTTTATCTTGCTCTCAAAGTTTCGTACAACAACAACTCATTATTAGATGAACAACGTCATGGGTTAGTACAATTGTTAGAATTATGGTGGCCACAGATGCACGCACGTCAAATGTTATTAGCCCTTGAGTTTTCTCACACATGCGGACTAACTTTAGAGCAACTCTGGCAAAGTCACCATAAAACACTTCAAAACAATCGTGTGATAGCTGGTCGGCACGGACCCACACACGGACGGTAGACATAGGGACTTGCAACGCGGCCCAAGTTGCGGTAGCAACATGACTCATATCGCAACCTTCATCAACCCGTCTCGCACGTGACAGATACATGGGCTTGCAACACGTTCCAAGTTGCAGTGCCAACACGGTTCACGTTGCATTCTGCATCAACCCATCTCATGCATGGCAGGCATAGTCACACAGGGACTTGCAACCTGACCCAAGTTGTGGTGGCAACACTGCTCATGTTGCAACCTGCACCAACACGTCGACTTCACTCAGATTATCAGTTGTAGTGATAACAAGGCTCACGTTGCAACGGATTTGGATCATATCAGACGGCTGACACGCGCTGGAGCCAATGGCTTTGGAGGTGATTAGCACGTCAACCGACTGACGCGTAGCACCTGCCTTACAATATAGAGGTTGATGAGATAACACACAAACTCAGAGTCTCCAAATTGGTTGCCATATCATGGGATCCACTCGTCAATGATATATACTTTTCCCCAATCTTCCTACGATCCCCATGTGAGTTGGGGTACCACATGAAGTTTTCTTCGCATCACACACAATCGCCTGATGAGGTAAGGTCCAAAAGTTGCCTCCCAAACGTCAAATATTGAGGCCGAGAGGCCAGGCATGGAGGGTGCTCCGTAAATTATGGTAATTTTGACAAGTACATTGACTCCACTAGTGTCTTTTTGGCCAGAATAGCCATATTGCTAGTTATTATGGCAATTGGGTCAGTATGGCGACTCTACTAGAGTTATTCTTACAGAATTGGTTTGCGCGATGAGACGGCAACATCTCGTTGGCGGAGAAAATGATAAGTAAAGATAGATCTACAAGTATATTATCACAGGCGTATCGATGGGAAGACGTGAGCAGATTTGTTTGGAAAAAGAAAGGCTAGAGGGACAACCAGTAGTTTTTTTTGCATAGTAATACGTGTCTCATTAATAACATAAAGATTCAGTTACAAGCCACGTAAACATAGATATTACAGGACTGAATAGATAGGATAATCCTATGCAAAAAACCAGCGTCTGGCCCTCTTCACTAAGGAAAAGGAGACAGATCACCTCTTTACCCGAGCTCGACGCGGCTCCATCGCTGATCTGCAGCTTTACGGACCTCCAAAGTAGTTTGCCTGAAGCAAAACCATTGCCATTGAAAGAATCAGACCGGGGCAACGTGTCCCCGGACACGCCATCGAACTCCAGAACTGACACCCCCGAACTCCAGTAGTTTTTTTTTTGACGTTCACATCACCTATATTTAGTCATGAAAGGCAGGGATTTGTGCCGAAAGAAACTGCAAAATACATTCTGGGGGATCAAGCACCCAGATCTTACTACTATTATTCTCTAGTCCTTCCTTTGCTAGCCGATGCGCAACACCATTGGCCGTCCTCCGAACCCATGTCACCTTCCACTCCCGTGTTGCAAGAAGATTTTTAACCTCCTTAATCATTGGCCCCAATGTGGAGAGATCGTCGTTTGAACTCTGCAGCTTCCGTACCATGTCTAGGCAGTCTATCTCAATATGAACTCTTGCCAGGTTAAGTTCTCCTGCCATTTGGGCAGCTCTCTTGCATGCTTGGAGCTCTGCCAAAGCTGGATCACCCCCCTTGATATAGCTCTGGCACGTCGCTGCTATAAACGCTCCTTCTGAATTCCGGAACACCACCCCTCCGCCTCCCTTCTCTCCTCCTTTAGTTGTTGCCCCATCGACGCTGGCCTTGACCCATCCATGGTCAGGAACTTCCCATCTCTGCGTTGGTACAGGTCGAGGGGTTT